TTATGTAAGTCATGGGCAGATTTGCTTGTCTACGTGTACTCTACTGCTTGGGTATTTTAAAATTTTATTTGCGGTGAGTAATTAGAGAAATGAGTTGGTAGCTTTAGTCCTGGGTTAAATAGTCCTAGGAGCCACTTAGTGGAAACGTCTAAGAGTACTGGGATTAGAACTGGTAGCTGACTCTACCCCAGGCTTCAACCCTTGTGGCTCTAAAGCGGATTGATTTTAAGTTTTCAAAATTTGTATATGTGTAATACTTATACGTATTTGGGGGTACATGTGATATTTTGATACATGTATAAAATGTGTAATGATGAAATCAGTGTAAGTGGGATATCCACCACCTAAAACATTTATCTTTTTCTTTTACTAGGAACAACACAGTTTGTCTTTTCTAACTGTTCTGAAATATATAATAAGTTGTGGTTAACTATAATTTTCGTAATATGCCACAGAAATCTAGAATTGTTGTGTGCATTCACTGGTTTTTCTTCTTACTCCCACTCCGCTTTTACTCTCTCCCTCCACGAGACCCACTATTTTAGCTACTGCATGTGAGTGAGATATGGTATCTGTCCTGTGCCTGGCATATTTCCTTTAGCGTTAATGACCTCCAGTTCCATCTATGTTGCTACAAATGACAAGATTTCATTCACCTCTAGGCTAGTAGAATAATACTCGTGTGTGTGTGTGTGTGTGTATCACATTTTCTTTATCCATTCACCTGTTGATGAATACCTAGGTTGATTCCATCTTTTGTGAACATTGCTGTAATAAACTTGGGAGTGCAGCAATCTTCAGTATCCTGATTTCATTTCTTTTAGACGTATAGCCAACAGCAGGTTTAAATCACGTTGCTATTCAATTATTTTAGTTTTTGGAGGAACTTGCATACTGTTTTCCATAATGGCTGTACTAAGTTTTATTCCTGCCAGCAGTGCATGTGTGTTCCTCTTTCTTTGCATCTCACCAGCATTTGTTATTTTTTTTCTTTTTGGTACTTGGTAATAGCCATTTTAACTGGGATGAGATGCTATTTCAATGGGGTTTTGATTAGCATTTCCCTAATGACTGATGAAGTTTAACTTTTTTTTTTTTTTTAAACATTCTGTTGACCATTTATCGATATGTCTTCTCTTGAAAAGTGTTTATTCAGGTTTTTGGCCTACTTTTTACTCAGGTTATTTGTCCTTCTGCCATTGAGTTGTCTGAGTTTCCTATACAGGCATAATCTGGTTCTTCATCCTTTGCTGGATATGGGTAGTTTGCACATATTTTCTCCTGTTCTGTAGGTTGTTTCTTCACTTGGTTGATTGTTTCCTTTTCTGCGCAGAAGCTTTTTAGCTTGATGTAATTTCATTTGTCTATGCTTTGCTTTGGTTGCCTGTGCTTTTGAGGTCCTATCCCCCCGAATCCTACAATATTCTGTAGCTTTTCTGCAGTGTTTATTTCTATTAGCTCTACAGTTTCAGGTTGTGCATTTAAAAGTTACGTTTTCCCAGCACCATTTATTAAAGACTGTCCTTTCTTTTTTTTTTTTTTTTTTTTGAGAGAGCCTCAAGCTGTCCCCCTGGGTAGAGTGCCATGGCATTTCAGCTCACAGCAACCTCCAACTCCTGGGCTCAAGCGAGTCTCCTGCCTCTGCCTCCCAAGTAGCTGGGACCACAGGCGCCCGCCACAACGCCCAGCTATTTTTTGGTTGCAGCCGTCATTGTTGTTTGGCGGGTCCGGGCTGGGGATTCGAACCCGCCACCTTAGGTGTACATGGCTGGCGCCTTAGCCGGTTGAGCTATAGGCGCCGAGCCAAGACTGTCCTTTCTCCAGTGTGTGGTCTTGGTGCTTTCCTGTGGCCATCAGTTTTAATGTTTCCTTTTTGTCTCTGATTTTATTTATTTGGGTCTTCTCTCTTTTTCCTTAGTGTAGCTAGATGTTTGTCCATTTTGTTTATCTTTTCAAAAACACGTTTTGTTCATAGTTTTGTATTTTTAGTGTCAGTTTCGTTTGCTTCTGTTCTTATCTTTATTATTTCTGTCCTTCTCCTAATTTCAGGTTTGGTTTGTTCTTGGTTTTGTAGTTCCTTCAAGTGCATCTTTAGGTTGTTTCTTTGAAGGACTTTTTTTCTTTTTTAGATGTATGCATTTATTCCTATAAACGTCCCTCTTAGTGCCACTGTTGCTTTATCCCATAGGTTCTGGTTGGTTTTTTGGGTTTCTTTTTTTCTTGTTGCTTGTTTGTTTTCTTGGAGACACAGTCTCACTCTGTTGCCCTGGGTAAATCACTGTGGTGTCACAGCTCACAGCAACCTCAGACTCTTGGGCTCTAGTGATCCACCTGCCTCAGCCTCTCAAGCAGCTGAGACGACAGGCGTGAGCTACCACCCAGCTTATGGTTCCAGGATGTTATGTTTCCATTTTCGTTGCTTTTAAGAATTTTTTTTTAAATTTCCTTTAAACTTTATTGATACACTGCCTATTCAGGAGCATGATGTTTAATTTCCATGTATTTTTACAGCTTGCAAATTAGGAATTTCTAGTTTTATTCCATGGTGGTCAGAAACAAATAACGATTTGGACATTTTTAATTTGTTGAGACTTGTTTTCATACCTAACATACGGTCTGTTTTGAGGAATGGTCCATGTACTGTTGAGAGAACATGTATTGTGGATGAAATATTCCATAAATGTCTGTTAGGTCCATTTGATGGAGATTCTAGTTTAACGCCACTTGTTGGTGGTGGTGATCTCTGCGTGGATGATCTGTCCATCTGTGAAAGTGCAGTGTTGAAGTCCCTGACTATTACTGTGTTGCAGTCAGCCTGTCCCTTTAGGGCTACTAATATTTGCTTTCTATATTTTGGTGCTTCATAATGTGTAGTGTTAGGTGTGTATGTGTTTACTGTCATTGTGACCTTCTCTGTCTTTTCTTACTGTTGTGACTGCCAGGGTTTCTTTTGTCTCTTTTGTTTTACACAAGTGTAGCTCCCCCGGCTATGTTTTTCATTCCATTTGCACGGAATATATTTTTCTTTTCTTCAAGTCTGTGTAGGTCATTATAACTGAAATGAGTTTCTTACCTCGAACATATAGTTGATTATGGGTTGTTTTGTTTTGTTTTTTGAGGCAGAGTCTCACTTTGTTGCCCTTGGTAGAATGCCACAGAGTTATAGCTCACAGCAACCTCAAACTCTTGAGCTCAAGCCATTCTCTTGCATCAGCCTCCCCAGGAGCTGGGACTATAGGTGCCTTCCATGACGCCCAGCTATTTTAAGAGATGGGGTCTCACTCTTGCTCATGCTGGTCTCAAGGTCTTGACCTTAGGCAATCCACCTGCCTCAGCTTACCATGGCTGCTATGATTATAGGCATGAGGTACCATGCCGGCTGATCTTGTTTTAAATTTATAAGGTACTCTGTCTTTTAATGGATGAATTTAGTCCATGTACAATCATCATTTTGTTACTTGTTTTCTAGTTGTTTTGTAACTCCTCTTTTTCCTTTTTTCTTTTTTTATTGCCTTTTGTGGATAAGTGACTATCTTAGACATTATGTTTTAATTTGTTATTTTTTTATTTTTAGTGTATCTGTTGCAGATTTTTGCTTTGTGATGACTTTTTTTTGGTGTATGTGAGACAGAGTCTTGTCACGTGGGATACAGTGCAGTGGCATAATCATAGCTCACTGCAACCTCAAACTCCTGGGCTCAAAGGATCCTTCTCTCTCTGCTTCCCAAGTAGCTAAAACCACAGGCAGGTGCCACCATGCCTGACTAGTTTTTCTATTTTAGTAGAGATAGGGTATCACTTTTGCTTGGTTTTGAACTCTAGAGTGCAAGTGATCCTCCCACCTTGGCCTCCCAGAGTGCAAGGATTACAGATGTGAGCCATCCCACCCGGCCCCCATGAGCCTTTACATTAAGATTGATTTTATAAGCAGGACCTGTGGGCAGTAGTTGATCACCAAAGCAGTTGTTTTCTCTTGCTGTGAACTTTCAAGATTAATAGTGGCTGTGGAAATTTGCAGGTCAGGACCTATTAGTTTTCTATGGCTTCTCTTTCTCTACCTGTCCTTGGCAGGTTTATTATAGTGAAGGATAAGAGTGTGGACTCCCAAGTCAGTGCACCACCAATCACTTTGAAGCTCCTGAAACTCTCAGTGCTCTATTTCTTCACCTATAATCTGAGAATTTACCTGATAAAATTTTGTGCTTTAAATGAGATAATACATTTAAAATGGATTAGAATCTCTTGTGTGGTGTATTATGGCGTTGCTACTGATGCTACTGCAGAACACTGCAGATTCAATTGTTACTAAAAATATAACTCATTAATTTGATTCCCAGCTTGACTATTCTTGGTGTATATGGCCAGCATCTTTTGGGAAACCTGGATGAAACTGGAAACCATTCTTCTAAATGAAATGTCACAAGATTGGAGAAATAAACACGCGTCCCCAATATCAAATTGGAGCTAATCAATATCAAATTGGAGCTAATCAATCAACACTTAACTGCAGATGTGGAAGTAAATCTCAATGAAAATCAAGGTGGTGGGAGGGGAGAGAAAGGATGGGTAAATTCAGACCCATCTGATATAGTGAACAGTGTCTGGATGAAGGGCACACTTACAACTTTGACTCAGTCTGTACAAAAACAAAGTATGTAAACAAAAAATGTATCCTGTAATAGTCTGAGATTTTTTTTTTTTTAAAAAAGATTACTGATTAATTCACTCAGCACAGTACCTAGCACATACCCTATAAAAATGTTCTCTTTGCCTCATGTTTAAATTCTTACATATCCTGTTCCCTCTGAGTAGGTTAGCAAGTAGACAACTTTCGGCCGGTAATCAATCTTTCTTCACATTTCCAACTAGAAGAATGAATGACTAGATGAACATACTTCCGAATATTAGAATGGGATTTTAGTATTTGATTTGCATGGTTTTAAAATTGTTTTTCTTAATAGCACATTTATATATATATATAAATCTGTTTGGTTGTACAGATGCTGTTGACTGAGTACTTGGATATGAAAAATACTCGTACGTCCTCTGAACCATCAGCTCAACTAAGCTATGCCAGTACTGGACGAGAGTTTGCAGCCTTTTTTGCCAAGAAGAAACCTCAAAGGCCAAAAAACTCTCTTTTCAAGTAAGTGTCACTCTGCTGGTGAGATTGTAGGTGTCAAGAAGTGTTAGATTCCAAATAGTTAGATTCCATGACTTTCTCTAGCTAAATTAGATTTTAAGTAATTAATAGGATGTGAGTATGTGTTCCGTTTTGTTTACCTTTGTTTTCTGTAAAGTGAAGTGGCTCTTTTGGAATATAGTTAACAGGAATATCTTGAACTCTTAACAAAAATTTCTGGGGAGTTTTATATAAAATTAAGGGAAATGAAACTCTCCAGTTGTGTCTGGAGATTTTTATATGAAATAAAAGGAAATTTAATATGTCAGCCTTGAAAAAGCCCCAAGTGCTAAGAAACAACCTTTGTTAATAAAGTTATGCAAATCTTCATTGCTGAATAATATTGGGCTTTATATGGTTTGATGTTTAATAAAGGAACAGTCTGGAAACTTTTTTTCTAATTACTATGTTAGTTAACTCTACCAGGCCATGTCTCCAAAGTGTGTATCTCTTGGTAATAGCTAATGTTATTAATATTTACATAATAATAATGACAGCATTGATTGAGTGCTTCCTAGGTGCCAGGCACTTGTTCTAGGTGAGTTACTCAGAATAATCTCAATTAAACAGAATTTTAATTCAGATTACATTAAATTTCAGCAGAAACAGCAGTAATAGGTAATATTTACTGAGTATTTTTACCAAGTGCTAGTCAATGTATTGAATCATCTTCTTGAAGTATTTCACTTATTACCACACTCATTATTCATTACGACAATCTGATAGGCAAGTTTTCTATTTTTAATCTTTCTTTATAAATATAAGCATTGAGACATGAGAGGTTAAAAAATTTATGTAATGTCACCTAACTAGGAGCAGTATTTAAATTCTGATGGTCTAACTCCAGACCCGTGAGTTCTTTTGAGGGGCTGATAGTTATTTTTGAAGTTGTATTTATAAATGTAAGCATGTAAAGTGACTACAGAAGTATTATCCCTGTATCTTGAATGAATTTTTTTTCACTGCCTAAAGCTGTAGTACCTTTCAATGGTTCACTTTCAAGATTTGTTTTTATTTTGAATTCATAGTGTTTTTAATACTTAAGGAATGTTTAAATAGTTCAGATATCCTCTTCATAGGATAGGTGCAATATCAGTTAAAACGCTTTAGGCTGCTAGTAACATAAAATCTCAAATAGGATAGATTGAACTGTAGGTAAGTTACTGTCTCACACAGTGAGGCGTAATGTGGAGTTTCCTTTATTTAGTGTTATAGTATCATGAAGGACCGAGCTCTTTCCGTATCTTTGCCTTGTCATCCTCAGCGATGTTTTCTTTGTGATTTTGAGGTATTTCCATCAGTTCCAGTCCAGTGAAGATGGTAATGCCATGGGAATTACCTACCAACCATGTGATTCTTCCTACCAACCTCTCTCTTTTTGTTATATAGGCTTAATTTTTTAGAGTAGTTTTAGGTTTGCAGGCAAGTGAAGCAGGAAGTACAGAAAGTTCTCTTCTATTCTTCTCCAGTTTCCCCTAGTAATGCCTTGCGTGAGTGCGGTATCTTTGTTACAGTTGATGAACCAACACTGAGATATCTTTGTTGATGAAAGTCCGTAGTTTACATTTAAAGTTCAGTCTGCCTTGTACAGTTCTAATGCTTTTTGATGTCACGTACCCAGTGTCACACCATTGTACGGAATACTTTCACTGCCTTGAACATCTGTGCTCTGCATATAGAGCCTTCCACCCTCCCTAACCATGGCCACCACTGATCTTTTCATTGTCCACATAGTTTTGTCATTTCCAGAGTGTCATGTAGTTGGAGTCATACACAATGTATGCTTTTCAGACTGGCTTCTTTCCCCTAGCCTTGTGCATCTGAGGTCCTCCTCGTCTTCTCATGGCTTGTGAGTCTTTTCTTTGCATTGCTGGATAGCGTTCCTTTGAGTGGCTGTGCCACAGCTTGTCGATGTGTTCACCTGTTGAAAGATATTTTATTTCCTTCCAAATTCTGGCAATTATGAATAAAGCCTGCTGTAAAAACTCACGTTCAGGTTTCTGTGTGGACTAAGTTTTCCACTCATTTGGGTGAATACCTAGGAGCCAAATTTCTAGCTCATATAGTAAGATTATGTTTAGTTTTGTAAAACACTATCAAACCATTATTTGAAATGACTGTACCATTTAAGGTATTTTTAAAATTAATAATTAAGTCATTAATTATCTATTAATCTTTCTTGCCAGTATCAAAATCTGCAAGTTCCCACTAGGTTCTAGGATTGGGGCTGACTGTTCTTACATAGTCACTGGCATGGGGAAACAGACCGCAGTGGTTGTCTTAAACCAGGCAGGTTCATCTGGTTTCCAGCTGACGAGGGAGCTACTTTTCCTGAGCACAAGGCTCAGTAGAGAGGGAACAAGGAAGCAGAATGCCCAGGTGGAACTGGGGCTATGCCAGCCACCAAGAAACGTAGCCGGAGGAAAAGGTGGTTGATAGAGACACCAAGACCACCCCAGATGCTGCCTAACCAGGCCTTTCTATTCTGTACCCTCCCCTCTCCCTCCTCCTTTTTCCTACCCCTTTTCCTTTGGTAGTTCAACTTATGATTCTAAATCTAGATTTATTGTAGGAAGGAGGCTTCAGTGATTTTAGATTTAATGTTTGTAAAACATTATCTCAGCTTTCAATCTCAGACCACGTATACATTTTCAAACATTTAGCCAATGCCTCTGATGTTGTGGTATTGAAACAAAGGTATATATATTCTAAGAAATGAGTAAATTGCTTTAAATAATCATTTCACATTTATTATTCTTGGGCAGTAATAAAAACTCATCGTGGACATAGAATGAGGCTGTTATTACAGTTTTATCTGTTTCCAGTCTTGGTTCTATCACTAATGAGCCATGTGTATCTGGGCAGGTTTCCCGTCTTAGCAGGCCTCAGTGCCCTTGGCCATTAACTAAGGAGTGAGACAAAATATTCTCTAATGCCTCTATTATTGTAAAATTATATCAATGTGTGACTTGTTGCAAACATAAAAAGAATTCCTGAGTCGCAAAAATACATCAAGTTATAAAGGATTAAGGTTTTGGCGAGCTGTAATCTGTTTTTATCACATCTGCGAAGGACTTTATTACCCTCTTTAATTGCCTCCAGCCAAGGTTAATTAAGTACGTTTAAGTTCCCTCTTATTGTACAATGTGTGCCTGTCTCTTCTTTGCTTGAGAGTTTATTTTTTTCCCTTGCCGTCTCTGATCAATAGCTGTCAGCATGCTTTTTGGAGGTCAGTGGCTTCTTTTCTGCACTTGACTGGCAGGTGGCACTTTTGAAGTGCTGCACACTTTGCCTTCTTTCTGCCTCTTAATGCCCTCTTAGTTCTTGGCAGGGTGCAGAGAGGGGATCACGTAACCCAAATGTTTCCCTTGCAGGCTGACATTCATCTTGGTATTCATCTTCCTTGTCAAGCAAAGGATAAAGAAGGCATAATTAAGAAAATGATGGTGCTCGCTCCTTGTGGCCGGAAACCTAGCCCATTACCACTGTTGCTATTCTGTTGCTGCTTATCCCTTAGCGGCAGTCTTGCTTAGAAGGATTCCTCCTTCTGCCAGCCTCTTATCCTACCTTTGAAAATCGCAGGTTGAAATGGAATCTCTTAATACATCAAAGGATTTACAGTTTGATACAGTCATAATTTTACCTCATCTTTTTCCTACCTGCATGTTTCTCTTTGAGACTGATTTGTTTTTCTTTTTTCTTTATTATAATCACTGTTTTAGCTTTTAGAGACCTGTTTTTTTATCATGAGTTTATCCCCCATGTTTCTGATCTTTGGCACGGTTACTGGGTAGGTGTGAACAGACATTCTGTAGTGTGGTATTTTTGAAAGTGCTTTGTGTTACCAAAGGCAGCAGGTCAAAAAATGAGCAGCCACTTAGAAATGATACTGTTTCTCAGGACATTTGGGGAGAACCATAGCTGCCTTGCTTCTTGGTTGGGTTGTTCAGCATTTCTAGTATGCCCTTTGTACTAGTCCTCTAACTAACTGGGGGGATCAGAAAGGCAAAAGTTCTGCTCTGAGGAGCGGGTAGATCAATGGTGGCACTTGGCAGCCACTGATGGATTTTGAGCTGTATGGTAGCCTACTCAGAATGGCTTTATGGAATGCTCTTGGTGCTGTGTGTGCAGGGGCCTTGCAAAGGATGATGGTCTTCTGAAGGCAAAAGAAAGTTGGGGCAGATGATAGTTGTACCAGTTGAAATGGAGAATAAGCAAAAGGTCAAAATATTATAGTGGGGGAGCATTAGCTGGGGATATTGCTCATAAATCAAGGTCTGTGGCCACTGTTCTGGGCTCAATCATGGTATGGCCAAACGTCTTGGATTGTAGAAGATCAGGGACCATCACAGATCAGAGTGAAGTACTTGGGGACTACATCACTGGACACCGCCTACGTGGCTGGCAGCTCACTGTCTGTTCCCTTGTGTCTCACCACAGGTTTGAGTCATCCTCTCACGCCATCAGCATGAGCGCCTATCTGCGGGAACAGAGAAGGGAGCTGTATAGTCGAAGTGGAGAACTGCAAGGTGGGTGATTGGACTACTCTGGACAAATGAATTTTCTAGAGGAATAGCTGAAGCATTTATTGCATGTCAGCCTGTGGTCTGCATTCACGAGATTCTTTCAAGAAGACAAAAATATAATGACATGATTATTTGATTCTTCTATCATTTCTTTGCGTTTATTGCCAAACAGCTAAAACTCTTACTGTGGCCATAGGATTTATAGACCTGCTACCATTGATGTGGGAATTCAGAGAAAAAGTAGATGAGGCCAGGTTCTTCTTGCTTAGATAGCAGACCTGAGTCCAATCCCAGGCTAGCAGTGTGCCAGTCTTCTGTGACTGCTATTGTTACTTTGAATAGTTGTTTTTGATGCCATCTGGAATATGGTAGACTATACATTTGCCCTTTTCCAAATGCCTAAGATTTGGAAAAGGGCAAATGCCTTATTTAAAGGGAAGAAGAATGCCTTTTCTAAATAGTATGGTATAGTCAATACAACTTTGATATATAGGACATTAGTGTGGTTACCAAAGAGTTGTAATCTGTAGAAGAAAGATAATAAATTATAATATAAATAAATCAATCAGACCAATAACATTTCCTTTTGTAACAAAAAGATACTGATCGTGGTAGATGTAATCAATCAAGGAAGATTTGTGAGGCTAAGTGTGAGACATCCTGGGTGTTGGAAGGAATGGAAGTTGGGTACAAAAGAAATAAAGATAAAGCCTTAAGTAAGATCTAGTTATGAAAGTGAGGCTGTACACATGTGTGCGACTGCACACAAACACTACCCACCCCCCACATCAGTAAGTAAACACACCTAAGTGAGTGGTGTACATAAATTGCTAGGGGAGTTCAGAGTCGGTAGTGATTATCGAAACTACTTTAGAACTCTGGGCTTTCTCCATGTGGAATAGGTCTGACCACTTTGACTGTCTTTGCTGCATTCGAGTCACTTGGCGCATTCTTTAGTGACTAGTCCATGCAATTAAATGTTCAGTTTCTAAGACTCCGAGTTCTACATGAAAACATCAGCCTTTCTGGATTTTGACTATTGCCTGGTCAGACCTGTCTTCACCTTTGTTAGTAATCTATGAGCCTGTCGGTTTTTCTAAAGATCCTATTACACTCTCTCATATTTGTGTCAGTTCCAAAGCTCATAGACGTGGCTACCTGTAGTAAAACCTAGAAGTATGCTGAGGATGTTGGGTAAAGGAGATCAGCCTACCAACATTTTATTTCATATCAAAGCATTATCATCCATTCTGGAAAATGTGCAATATGCATCTCAGATTCCTGATGTATAGGAGTACAGGGATTGGTTATAATTGGAACAAATGAAGGGGTGGCCCACTCTGTGGTCAGACGAGAGAGGAGCAGGAGGGTGGCCCCCCACAGTCCTGCTCTAGCCGGCTGCTACCTACCAAAAGAATGTGGTGGGCTGCAAAAGTGTGGAAGGAAATATGGAAGCAGAGTCTTGTAGGAGCAAGAATTGTACTTGAACTGCTGCTTAGGGGGGTAGCAGATTATCTAGGGCTGGAATAGCTTCTGTCCTCACAGTGTCCTCATTTTAATTTCTCTCTAGACTTGGATTAAAGAATAGTTTAAAGGTGCCTCTATAATTTCTCTCCTACTGTCCTTGAGTATAGTACATAAATTTCTTTAATGATGGCAAAGCCTTCTTTTCTTCTATTTTCGGTTGAATTCTGATTATTTTTCACAAATAAAAATTATTTATTTTAGAGCAGTGTTAAGTTCACAGTGAAATTGAGCAGAGAGTACAAAAAATTCCTTTATACCCATGTCCCCACCCATGCACAGCTTCCTCCAGTATTGACATCTGGCCCTGCTATGAAGCCTTTCACTTGGCACTTTAGGATGAAAAGGTAGACCAGATAATCAATAGGCCAGCACTGCAACTTGTCACTCACTCGAATTCAAGCATAATTAGTCAACAAGGGTAAACACCTAACAGCAGAGTCTTTGTGTTTTGTTAGACAATAGGAATGGTGAGCACTCTGTGCTGTGGCCTTGGGGACAGTTTTTAATCCCTGCTCAGTGGTCTGTGATCCCTTGAGTGACAGTACAGTGTGGCAATGCAGGGAGCGGGCTCTGGGCCCAGACTGCCTGCATTTAAACCGCTGACTCCCCATCACGGGCTTTGTAACCTTGGGAAATTTGTATAACCCTTGTGCTTCTTTTTCCTTTTCTCCAAATGGAAATAAAAACAAGAGCTCCTACTGCATGAGGCTTTTGTGAAAGTGAGGTGAGTTAAATATGCTATGAATAGCATTTTAAAAAGCCTCTGAAGAAGAGCAAGAGTGAATATTCTGCCTTTCTTCTTCTTCCTTTTTTTTTTGGAGACAGCGCTCATTATGTCACTCTAGGTAGAGTGCTGTGGCATCCTAGCTCACAGCAACCTCAAACTCTTGGGCTTAAGTGATTCTCTTGCCTCAGCCTCCTGAGTAGCTGGGACTACAGGTGCCCACCACAATACCCGACTAGTTATTATTTATTTATTTATTTATTTTGTTAAGAGACAGGGTCTCACTCTTGCTCAGGCTGGTCTTGAAGTCTTGTGCTCAAGCAACCCACCTCCCTTGGCCACTCAGAGTGCTAGGATTATGAGCCACCAAACCTGGTCATTTCTTCCTAAGTATTAGAATTTCTAGCATTGCACTGGGACTTCAGAGTTTAGGCACACATTCCGTTTGTCCTTTCTGTCATCTTTCTGTGATGCAGTCCTGCTCAGCCTTTCAAGTGAAATTTAGTTGTCATGTATTCTGGTGAGCTTCCCGGCTGGTCCCTCCCCGCCCCCACCTGTCTTTCTCTCTCTCTCACACACCGTCTGGGGTTTTGGCCCCTGCTGTCTGTTTCCACCATGTCTGTAGTATCACCTTTCTCTTACCTCCCATGCTATGTTGTGGATCCGCGCTCACTTGGCTGAGTGTTCTACCAAACTCCAAGCTCCATGAGTGTTTCATTTACTCTGCTTTGCACAGTGTTGGTACAGTACATGGTCAATAAATGCTGCTTGCCTTGATGACAGACAGACAGTTAAGATCAAAAGCAGCACAGAGTTCTCCATTGAGAGGTCGGAAGGGCCCTAGAAGGAGATGGAGCCGCTGGCAGCCACCATTAGCTTCCCAGATTTCCCTTAGATTTCACTTTGAAGGCAGAGTAGAGGCTGTACATACGTTTTTGTTCTCTGCAGTTATAAACTTCATTAAGTAGAAACATTGCCCTTGAGCTGTCTGGCCCTGGACAAAACTGCTGTATGTAATTGAAAAACATTTTAAAATCCAACTAAGTGACAGAAAAATTTTATTCTGTGAGGAGGGTTAGATTCACAGTAATCTAACTAGGAATTTTCCCATCTTTCAAAAAGTTAATTGAAATATGGGACATTCAAGTCCAAGTCTATTGCACTTACTAGTGTTCTGTAAGTTACGAGGAGTTTCTCTGGGGATGAAAAACGTAATAGTTAGCAAACACATCATCTTCATAATAATCATGAAAAAATACTTCAGATGAGCTGACACCTCACACACTTGGTGAGAGAATGGAGTAGCTGACCAGTTTTTGTAAAAGTTTGATGGCATTTCATGTAGAAGCAAAAGTTTCCCTGATGAATGCTTTTAACTCTCAGCAGGAAAAAAGGGGGGAAAATCATACCCTTTTTCCATTAAAAATGGCCATCTTTTTTAGTTATTCCATTAATCTGACTAGTCCAAGGACCACAGCACGATCTGCATTTCAGCTTGTCCTTGGAAAGGCATAATTGAATGGATCAGTGAAGTCGTGGGAGACTGGCAGAAGATTTTTGTCTCTTCTGTTAATGCCACATTGCTGCAGGCTTTGCTTCCCAGGGGTTTGGTTCATAGGTCAACTTTTCCTTCTGTTGCAGGAGAGCGGCAAAGAAATCCACCAGAAACAGCATCAAAGAATATTAAAAAGCTCACATTGTACCAAAGTTAGCTCCTGCCAACATTTTCAATTTATCATGCAATTAAAAATCTTACTAAGTCTAACAACACACAGGGGATAAAAGAATGAAAAAAGATGAGATTTCTTTGGTATTATCAACCCATCTCAATTGGCTCTAACTGTTACAGTACAGATGGTTCATTATAGAGTCTGTGTTGGCAAACGGGGTTGAAGAGATGGGGGTGCCGCTTCAAAGCGTGTGCGATAACAGGTGGAAATCTAACGTGTGTGTGTGTGTCTACGGTAATCGTTGACGCCCTGTTGTCATCAGCCTCTCTGCCGCTCATTGTACTGCTTAGACGGCAGCATTGTAGCTGAAGTAAGATGCAGGTCTTCGTGAACATTTAGCTTGCGTGTAGCTTCTCAGGTTCAGTGACTAATACTTCAGGAGAATAAGAAAACTGATGAACACATTATCTCATAGGAGTTAAACAAAATCAGAAGACTGCCATTCCTGACCAAAGTAAATGAACTCATTATTGTTTGCTGACCTCTTCTGGCATCCTCTCCCTTATTATAATAGTTCTTTATCACAATGTTTATAAAATTTTTCCTTATAATACTTAACATGTGTATGTCTTGCTCATTGAACTCATTTATTTTCTACACTTCCCTCAGTCCAGAACACAAGACTAATTCCTCGATGCATACCAGGCTAGGATAATGCTTGGCTTGAATTAGGTACTCAAGGAACATTCGAGGGAGGAGGACTCCATCCTTATCTCCTCGGTTGTGGGTACAAGCCTACTTAATCTGAGACTCTCTGATGGACATTTTAATAGAGTACAAGTCCTGTGGTCTGTCGTCTTCCACTTGTAAGGATCATAAAACTTATGAATGGATAGAGTACATTAATTGCCATTGATTCAAGTGGAAATATATACTCAGTTTTGATTATAATTTCTCTTCTGTCTTGGGGCTACTTAGTACTTCTGTTTGCATTCAACAACACTGTAGAGTGCCATTTTTATTCCCATTAGCTTAATGAGTGGCATTTCTATAGCCCTGACATTAAAATACTCTGTAAAGCT